ATTTAATAAAATAAATTTTATGACACTAATTTGGAAAATATAACTTGAAAAAGGTAGGGAAAATATATTACAAAAAAAAATCTAAAATACATATGGTATTATTTAAATTGCTTACAATAAACGTAACAACTTTCATTATGAAAGCTATAAACATATATGCACAAATGACGAAGATATTAAAAAAATTGCCCAGACGCCCATACGTTTTTAGCTACCGTTGCTCTGTGTGACGTCACTTAATTTGTAAGGAGCCTTTTCGACAGTAGTTCCACAAACAAAGCACCGTATCTCCAAAACTATTGATCGCATACATGCTGTTACTTTTACATTATTTCTCAGATATTAATGGACTAATTATTTATAAAATAATAAAAAGTTGTCACCTAGCCTATTAGGCGGTCGCACCCGTAGGCAGTTGCCTAGTTTGCCTAAATGGCCGTCTGGCCCTGAGTCAACGACATATTCGAATAAAAAACAACACAATTTAGGTAACTAATAGTATTTAATAAACTCAACATCACATTATCGATTCTATACATAAATTTTGTTCTTAATATCTATACATTAATAACTACACTTTTAAACACTGTATAAACTTTGTCATTCAATATATTCATGGCATGTATAAATTTATATAAATTCTTTATACTAAGCATAACCGAAGAAGTTTACGTATTTGACCTTATATAAAGTATAATATTATTATGAGCCAGGACTTCATAGAGTGAATGAATCAAGTATACTGAAAACTTTTTCTATGTTAGCAACACTGAAATAATCAGCTGCTTCATATTGTGAATGATTGTAAATATTACAATTTTGTACGAAACAGCTGATTTTTTTTAAAAAAATCAGTTGTTTTTTTTTTAAAAAATCAGCTGTTTCATACAAAAGTAAAAGTTGTTCAGTATACTGAACTAATACACACCACGAAGTCCTAGCACATGCATATATGGCATATTACACCTCATATAGTCTTAATTCATACTATGACTCTGCAAAACTTTTTATTTAATAATAGCATAAAAAAATTACATTTTTAATGAAAATAACACAATCGGAAGATGTTTGGCACAGTTACAGTTTATATAAAGATATGATAATATTTCTTTGACAGATTTAAACCACTGAGCGACTGATATATAATTGTTTTATGCTCGCTCTACACAGATCAACATTTTTATTATTTTAAGGAATATCACCGATTTTGCAAAGCTCGGCTAATGAATACACAGCTTTTTAAAGCTTACGAATTCTAAAACAGAAATAAATTAAATGAATAGTTCAGTTGAAACATCAGAGTGTAAGATAATTAGTGAGTGCGTTAAGAATTTGTATGGAGATTTGTAGTTCTTGGTAATTACCGCTAGAGGCGTTGTGCCGGATTCCATACTAAAATATTAACGTCAAAAAACATACACTTAGGGTTCTGGTTATACAAATATGTCAACATTATTTTAAACTGTCTTTAAGGGTATATCTATATATATAAATGAATCCTGATTTTTCTTAGTCACACCATCATACATGAAAGGCTGGACCGATTTGGCTAATTCTTTTTTGTTGCGTTTATTATCTTATGAAAGAAAAAATAAGAAAATTGTGTAGAAAATTTAAGAATATTTAACCACCATATAAAATTATTTCGAATCTAACCTTAGTGAATTATATATATTACTATTGAAATCGATGAATTATATATATATATATATGTATATATATCAATTAATCAATCATATCAATTGAATTGTACGTGTTTTTCAGTATCTAGCTATGAGTTGGACGGTCAGACTCCATACCGATCAAGAATTAAGGAGTCACAGTAAACTTCTTCGATTGTACTTCAAAATGTACATAACAATTAGAATCACCTGGCACTTAAATTCCGCTTAGCAGAGATATCGCATCCGTTATTTTACATAATGGCTAAGATTTTTTTGTAATGCTTTATAAATATATATATATAAAACAAATTCCAAATATATAACAGTTCGTATTTTTTTCGTAAAATATTTGAAAAAAGGTATTCTTAATGAGAAATGCTTAAAAAATCCACTTTGCCCCTGGCACTCTGAGGTGTTACTCGAATTCATGACCTTTCACGCTTCTGGTGATTGCTCTAACGGTTGAGCTACCCAGTACTTAACAGGACTGACGTGGAGTTTTCTAAGCGTTTTTCATTAAGAATATTTTCCAATTGAATGCAAAATTGATAAAATACAATAATTATTTGAAAGATGTTAAAATTTCGCATTAAAAATCGCCGAATTATGTTTTTTTTTAAATACGCACGCTTTAATTAGCCAAAATTGTTTTTTTATACATCTATTTCAACCAATATAAATAAGAACGTGAAGCAAATCGTAAAACACTTTATCTAAAATCTAACCGAGATTAAATATTCGTTAGTCATTATGTATAAAAATCAGCCATTTTGTAAACGTTAAAATCAGTAAATATACAACGGTAAAACATTTCTGAACACTTTTCTTTTTGAAAGTTTATTTTTTTTATACAATTTAAATCAAATTAGACATTTCAATACGTAAAATAGCAATGTATATAGTTCAATTAATAATTATTTTTTTAAGAAAATATAGTTTTACAATAATTTATTATAGCATTATATCAATTCGGACGCTTGTTTTATTGTAATATTTTAGTCGCATTGTAAATTGATGGACTACATTCTGACTAAGTCATTATATAAAGTGACTTAAAAAAAATTACGATTTTGTTAGTATAAATATTATGTCTACTATTTATATAATAAAAACGGAATGGCAACATCGTTTAAAATAAAGACCCTTTAAATAAAAACAAATGAGATTTTGTTAAAAAAAAATCAATAGTGTTGCCAGCTAAAATAAAAAAAACACCTATAATAGAAATGGAAAAAGTACATAAGATCCTACCTGTGACTAAGATATAACCATGGTAGAATGGACGTTAACAATTATATCTTAAAACCTAAATTACTTTGCAACCGCATTATATAATAATAGTATTTGGTCTGTACATACACTTTAAGACGTTAAATAAGGCAGTTCTGTTAAAAAAAAATTGCATTCCGACCTGTCCAAAGAGTAAAATTGCATTTGTATAATCTTTTATTTAAAAGAAAGATTTCACATTTGATTTACCCATTTTTTTTTCATATCCAGAATATATATTTTGTTTTTTATTTATATATATCCAACAACAATGTAGGTTATATATACAACTAGCTATTTTCCCGCGTATCTTATATCCTATATCACCCGCGTATGATGTAGTTATCCCATATTAATAGGCCTCTTTTGAAATTAGTATAAATCTAAATATATATAACTCAAAGGTGACTGACTGACATAGTGATCTATCAACGTACAGCCCAAACCACTGGACGGATCGGGCTGAAATTTGGCATGCAGGTAGATGTTATGACGTAGGCATCCGCTAAGAAAGGATTTTAATCAATTCTATCCCCAAGGGGATAAAATAGGGGATGAAAGTTTGTATGAAACTTTGTCAATTTTAAACCGATCGGGCTGAGACTTTGCATGCATAACGATCCTAAGACGCAGGCATCCCCTAAGAAAGGAATTTGATAAATTCCACCCCTGAGGAAATAAAATAGGGGATGGAACTTTATTTCAGGTATTTTACACGATATAATGACTAAATATTCGTTAGAAATGCTGCTCAAAGTAATTTTACAACGCGGACGAAGTCGCGGGTAAAAGCTAGTTGTTTATATCGAAAGCAATATTTACTCTACCCGTCCCAAGATTGTGCCACTTTAAAACTTGGCAAAGTGTAATATTTTAGAAGGTCATTGTTTAATCACAACATAGTATAAAACAAAGTCGCTTCCTCTGTCCCTATATCCGTATGTATGCTTAACTATTTAAAACTACGCAACGGATTTTGATGCGGTTTCTTTCATAGATAGGGCGATTCAAAAGGAAGGTTTTTATGTATAATACAAGACCTTTACGGGCTCCGTATTTACTTAAGACAAGGTGAACTGATTCATTCATAAATCTCCTTTCACTAGTTCCTTTCAGCTAGTCATATGCGAGTGGCATAGGATATAATATAAGCGGGCGAAGTCGCGGGAAAACAGCTAGTCAATAGTCAATAATTTTATTCTACGGACAGGTCGAATTGTTTAGGATCATAATGCTCAAAGCATATTAATCCACGTCGAACGCACCGAACGAGGCGAAAGAAACGAATTTCACAATAGTTACATTGCCTAATATTTTTTTTATCAGTAATCAAATAATTGAAAAATATTAAATGTATTTTTTAGTTTTCGCGTAGTAAAAAAAAAATACTGTTTAAATGTCACATGACGTCACACCTTTGTACAGTTTCAACATATTTGTGACGTAGCTTACTCCCACTCCTCAACTTTAATGCCTGTTATCTAAGCTACTTCTTGTTAAATTGAACGAAAAAAATACGTATCTAATATTTTTCTATTGTCCGATAGACGGATAAAAAACATTCTTTTGTTTGTATTAAAATATGTGAACCACAACTCACTACCACGAATCGTTGGAATATGGCTTTTGACAAATTTTTCAAAAATATTAAAAAAATGAAATTATACAGGTATATTGGTCATATAAAAAAAATCTGCAAATTATACAAGATAACACAGAGTATTTATTATTTTAAAATTTCCAATTTAATTTCGGCTCCAAAACTACAATCATTAATATCCGCCATATTGTGACGTCAATTCTTTGTATACTTATTTTGAGATCGTACAATGGGAAGATTAATTAATAATCATGTTTCATTACGCCAATTTTTAACTTTTAGATATTAAAGAGTTTACAATTCAATTTCATAATATTTGTAAATATGTTATAATGTAAACTCACAGATTTTGACTATGACACTGCAAGCTAACACAATATGACACTACAAGCTGACACAATATGACACCGCAAACTTTAGATCTCTATTTGGGGTCACGTGACATGTGGCTGAAAAAGATATTGATTTATTATTAAATATAGATATTGTCAATAACCTGTCCTTAATTTGAGAACAAAGAAAATCAGTTTCGTTCGCCCCCATCGGCTCTGATTCGGCTGGAACTTATATTTTTGTTGCCAAACGAATTACGCCTTTAGTGGTCATCAATAAGTCTTCATTTCGCACGTCACTGTGGTTCTTTCTTGATCTTCAAGTCCAAGACGCAATCTGAAATTAGATGTTATGATTCAGACTTGCTTTCCGCTGCGGCCCCGCCCGCGTGGTTTTGTATTATAAATACTAGTGGTCGCCCATTGGTCGAAATTCGACCATATTAAATTTCAATTAGAAGTTATTGCTGAAATCGAAAATCTTTTGACATTCAGTAAGACCACAGTAAGCACTATTGATGAAATATATGAAATAATGATCTGAAATTTTACTTACCATTATAATCAACGTACGCTATTCTTCTAGGCGCAGATTGCTTTCTACCATGACTCCTTCTACCTTCGTTCTTTATAGACAAATTCAGTACACCATTCTCACTTAACCCTCTCACACTCGTTACATCTGCGACCGCATCCTCTTTTGGAACAACAAACAAAGAATCCTCCCTTGTAATTACATCCTGACTTTGAAATGTCTTATCGTCCCCAATAAAGATAGTTTTGGCAAATATCTTCTTCTTGCTGTAACTGTTATTAAACATATGGTTAACGCTTTTCTGGACCAACTTGTCTATTCTGCATTCGAATATATTCTTGTCTCTGACTATGTCGCAATTGGATGCGTTGTCTTTGATTTTCTCTTTGGCCAGATCGGTGTGAGATTCTTTAATGTCTATATCTATATTTGGAATTTCGGATGCGTCCAAACGATCGCGGAGCGTCTGAAAATGGAATGTTGGATGTTATTAGAAAATCAAAATAAACAAAATACCACTTTACATTTCATTATTGATCTCCCCACTGGGGCACGGGCCTGGCCAATGGATGGAAACGAATCTTTTAAATCTTTTAAATGATATACCGCGGCCCTAAATGCCAACAATATCCTTCAAATAGTTAATTCACCTATGTTTAGTATACTAATTAAATTTATATGAAACTAGCTTTCCGCCAGCGGCCGCGCGCGTGCTCTTGTATTATACATAAAAACCTTCCTTTTGAATCGCCCTATCCATGAAAAAAACCGCATCAAAATCCGTTGTGTCACATATTTATCTATACAAATTCTACTAAATATTGTTCTAATGTCACAGTTCGTCGGACCCCCCCCCCCTCCTAAAGTGTGACGTAATTAATGGATGACCCCTAATGGTGTATACTGTCTCTCACCTGGGCTACATGATGTCTCAGCCTTTGACACCTCTCTCTCATCTCGTCCCTCTGCATCATCAACACCTTCCGATCCGCTAACGCGTCGTCCCTACACGCCCTAACAACTCTGAGCTCCCTGGTGAGTCTACGAAGGTGCTCCATGGAACGACGCCTGCTGTTCTGTGACGCTAGCTACGAAATAAATTAATCAGTAAAAGTAAAAGTTCGCTCAGGGGCCTACACTAACCAGGTGAATTAATAATATTATCTGTTTATAAAATTAGTTTTGATTAAAAATACAAAAAAAATTGCGACCGTAATAGTCGAATGGCCCCTTAAATAAATATAGACGGTTGCCAGCCTATATATGTTTAGCATACATACAGTTAGGGTAGCCAGCCGTCCGGATAAAGCCGGACATAGCCGGCCAAAATAAGCGGTGTACGGCTTGTTGAATCATATTAATTTCGTGAGTCACTCGAAAAAGTACTCGATTTTAAAATAAATTTTGCAGTACGCAATTCTGTCAATTCTATGTCAATCGTCATAAGGTTACATTAAAAAGGTCTATTACCCAAAGCACTAAGGTTAGATTAGAAATAATTTTAAAAGGTGGTTAAATATTCTTAAATTTTCAAATCTTCCACACAATTTTCTTCTTTTTCTTTCATAAGAACCTTCTCCGGACATAAGAAACACAATAAAAAAATTAGGGAATTCGGTCCAGCTATGCACGTGACCAAGAGAAATTGGGATTTCTTTTTATATATACATATAAATTCATAGCCAGTTGGACAAATATCCATTAAAATTGTCACTAGTTTAAAGAGACATTACCGATGTAATTTCGACATTCATTTGAGCTCTAAGGCGTCATTAAACCTTAATGGACGTTCGTGCAACGGTACAAAATCCTCGAAAATGTAAGGTGCCCAGCCTTTTGACACAAATGTCCCGCCAAACGGGCAGCTCTATCCGGCTATTAGGTTTAGCTATTGGTAACCCTACATTTAGTTAAGTAACGTGTGAACAGTAGAAGCGATCGCCAAGTGTCAGGTTCCCATAACCACATACCTGCATGGTATTTAAAGCATTATAGATTCTGATGAATACGTTCAGAAGAAGTTAGTTTCAGTATAGAACGATAGTGACACAATGCAAAAAATGTGATTTTCAGCATTGAGCGTTTAAAGTTCAAGAACTTGCAATCCACCCCTCTAAACAACGTATCGACACTACGCCATCTAGCAGTTTCTATGCAAACTATGTTCACAGGGATCTTTGCATTTTAAAGTTTATACTTAACAAAGCAAAATGTTGCCAAAAGTAAAAAATACGTCGTTATTGGTTAGCGACATTGTCATTCTCAACGTGCGAATATATAAATAAATCGTTTGTCTCGATAAAACTCGAGAATGGCTGGGCAGTTATAGCTGATTTCGATTTTTAATTGTTTGTCGTAGTCCAGATAAGGTCAAACAATGAGAAGTGACACGAAGTATACCGTATCTAGTAAATAATAAAGTTTACAACGAAATAAAGAAAGTAAGAATAATTATCAGTTATATCCCGCAGTCTTTACTAGATGGCGCCTATCTTAAAAAGTGAAACGAAAATATTTTATATTAATAGATATGTAAATAGACAAATAAATTATATGTTCTACTAACTACTATAATAACAACAACATTGATTTTGCTTAATTTTATCATACTGCTATAGTAATATAATAAAGTAAGTGCTGCCATTATCAACTAGCTGTACCTTACCCTATTTTTGATCCTCCTTCTTAATCCTTTGAGGAAGGCCAAGTCTTCATCAGCTAGCCGTAACGACTGCACCCTCTCGGAATACTTTCCGGTAGGTAAACCAGCTACCTCTTCAACTGTCATATTGATACCGCGTGCTGGAATAAAAAGGCAGCGATATCATTACCAACCTAATAACTCACAAATGGCCCTTTGACATCAACACAAACAATACCCCTCTAAACCCAGAACTATTTAGACTTCCAATACGTATGAATTTCAGAATGTTTGTACTTTTAGGTCTCTTGTGTGTGAGAAACCAGTCCCAACTTGTAATGATCAATGAAATGAAATAAAATGAAAATATCTTTATTCAAGTAAGCTTATAACAAGCACTTTTGAATAGTCCAAAAAATGTTTTTTCCCCTATCACTTGTTCAGGATGTCTTTTAGCTGACAAGAAGAACAAGCGAAAGAAACTTACCAGCATAAGCAATGACATTTACATAAATCACGTCATTACCAAAATAATATGTATTGTCACAATAATAAATACAACTTTCAAAGTTTGTAGGATATAGGTTGTACATATAATTAGTCTTTATAGAACAAAGTGAAGGCCATTAATTCCATGCATTGCCGTCCTTAAAATAATCATCAACTTTATAATAGCCTTTACTCATAAGTATGTTCTTTACATGAACTTTAAATTTATTGTGTGAATCATGCTTCCAACTACGTCTGCTCATACTCCTTAGTACATATGCTATCTGTCAATAAGAGTCCTGTCAAAATCAGTCCAGCTGTTTGTATTAGATAGGGGTAGGATGCATTTTCTGAATAAAATGTAGGAATTATTGAACTTTAACAAACATCAAAATGAAATGTCCAATTCAGCATATGTGTTAGAGCTTTAGTTACACAGTAGAGTTATCGATGTGATGTGAATTAACTGATGGAGTAATAACAAAATTAATTAATTTGAAATACAATAAAATCTAAAACTGTCAAAAATATTATATATCATGGTCTCGTTTACATTAAAAGAAAATTAAGTATCATTATGCTTCACTTTATGTGATAATTATATATATATATAACTATGTTCTTATGTAGGGATATCAGTAGCGTAACATACATATTAACCTATGTTATGATTATCATCACGCTTAAATTCTGTATTAAATTTACTGGTTGACTGGTGGAGAATGCCTCTTTGGCAAAAAGTTCGCCATTTCTCTATTCTTCTAATCAATTTAGATTAAATAATTCATTTAGCATTTGATTAAAAAAAAAAGCAGTAACATACTGATATACTGATTCAGTTGTGCATTATTAATGCATTTGTAAATGATCCATAAGTCCAATTTTGTTTTTAATCTTTTAATTTTAATTCTTTAGAACATGTAAACCCCATCATAAGGTTCAAATATTAATGACAAAGCTTGTTTAATAAAATAAAATCATTAAAATATATATGAATAAATAAATAATTGAATGAATAATATACTTATCTACTTGATAAGTAGTGTTTGTAAAATGTTTATTTCACAAATGCCTGAGTCACTCATGAAAAAAAAAATGACATTGAATTAAAAAGTTATGTTATATTTAAATTAACTCAGATCTTATCATGTACCTACGAAATTAACATAGTATTGTTTGGTACAAAGTAAAATAAGAATGAGTTTACTGTGTAATCTTTTGTAAATCACTAAAGTTTATCAGCACTATTTTTGTATAAACTTAGGAAGACAATCTAATATAACACTAAATGTAGTCTTACGATAAGTATTTAAAATTCAAGTCGTCGAAATACATCACATTATCAAACCATTACTTCACACACGAAGGAAACAAATCTACGTCATATTACAAAATACCTGTTGCATCGTTTCTAAGAAATAAGTACTCGAATTTCAAACTTCATAAAATAAGTTATGAGGACGTACCGTCGAGTATTTCTTGATCCAAATGATAGGAAGCTGCGTTCTTCGCATTATCGTCCATTCTTCATATTTGTAAACTAGTTTTAAATAGGATTTTTTCATATAAAACACCCAATATTCTTAACACAAACACGCTAGGTTATTACTACAACTGTCACTGTCAGTTAATCGACGTTCCGTTCTAAGTTCCTCCTGTATAGTACATTACCATTTTGTTTCGCTAAAATAAATGATGACTAATTGATAAATTATTTTGTACTACTAAAATATTATGCTTATTTATTATTAATGTTGGACAAAATTAATGAAAATGAAATAAATATAGGTATGAAACTTAAAAATGACGGATAATCAAGGACAAAAGCTCATTTAAAAAAAATGACATCTAAATTTTGACTGTTTGTTTGACATTTGTGACAGAACTGTAGAATACGCGAATTTTGTTTCTTTGTTTCTGCCGGCGTTTTATTGTTTTACGACGCTACACCATCAAATTTAGTAAGTAATATGTGTTCTTCTTCTCAAATACTCCTTACATAATTTGTAAATATTGATAAGTTTAGGATGTAAATGATATTTCGTTTATAAATGTCCAACAACTTGCTTGGATCATGTGGTTTTTCATCAACTTCAACTGGCCTTAAAAAAACCGTCGAATGCCTCGATCTAAATAAATAGTATTTATGTGCAAATATTCAAAAATACAGTATTTGTTTGTGATTTAATGTACAAAATATGTAACAAATTTTATGTTAATATTCTCCGCTCGCAGCTTAGTCCGCGTGGATTAGAACTTAACGTGGTTTATTATCACCCATTTTATTGAAAGTTTCTTACTACTTCTTTTATTTTTACTCTTTGAATCTAATGCAGTTAAGTTTGCATTAGTAGTGTCTCAAACGCAATTCTTATACAATCTCACAAGTCACAACAGCTCATACAAAATGCCCTAGTGGTTCAAATTACATTATACCTGAATGCAATCCTTTCTCTTCAAACCTGAAAGCTATAAAAGCAAACCAATAAAAAACCAAAGGTGACATGATAACAGGATGCTCACCTATGATATATCAATTTCTCTACTGAGAATATCCAAAGTGGAAATAAAATTTAAATAAACTTTTGGAATTTGAATTAGTAGTTACTTTATGACATTAACAACAGACAGTAAACATTCACTGTCCCACATCTGATAAATGAGCAATGTAACAGGCAAAGAGCAACAACACTTTCTCACTAAACGATCTGACCATAGACCACAACCAAACGTCATCATTCAACATGGCATTCAAAATCTAAAGTCATTACTGCAAGCCTAAATTGAATGGCAAACAAGACAAAATTTAATGTTCACAGTGTTACTGTGAAATTTATTCATGCGACCCAATGTGTGCTAACCAACCCTAGTCAATGCAAGGGTCTATACTACAATTAATTATATTACTTTGCCTTTTAAAATAAGAGTGTTAATATTTTTTTGTTCTGCTTGAATATGTGATTATTGTGTAGTAACTCTGACTATATATTTAGTTGGTGTGGCATTAATGTCAAGTTGAGCAATTCTCTATCGAGAGCACTTCTCTAATCATTACTTAGCTTATTCCAAGCTGTGGTGGTCCAAAATGTGACGTTTCTTTA